TTTTGTGTGTTTGTTGTATTCCGAATTTCAATGCTTTTTTCCCTCACCCTCTGTCTGTGTTTTCGCCTTCGACAAAGTAGGTTCTTTTCTTTTATTATTCGAATATCGTTCGATTCGTAGACGTTTATTCGAAATAAATGGGAAGTATGTTTTAAAGGTAAACGAATTTCGTTCGTTTTTCCAATTAAATCGTGGATTTTTTGGAAAAAAAAAAAAACTATTCCATAATTTTGTACTTAACTTTTAACCACGTTGTTGTTTCCTTTTTCCAGGTTTCTCATGGTTGTTTTTTTTTGTATTTAATCATTAGTTTTTACGGATTTGTTTAAATTTTGTGGATATTATTTTGAATTTATTATTAACATTAATTTTCATCCGTTTCTTTTTTAATTTATAATTAATCTACAATCATAATTTTTTTTTTTTTAAAAGCATGTATGAATGACGATATTAGTTGCATAAAATGAATTGTCCATTTTTAATTGGATCAACAATATCTAAAATTGAACATTAATGTTTTTAACTGAGTTAATTTTTAATTCCAATCGAATCATTAGGTATAAAATGATAACGACAATAATTCAACATAAAAATTATTTGTTTCTCTAGGATCGAAAATATTTCATTGAAAAATTTGCAATAATCTTTAATTCTACTGTTACCTAGATTGTTTTATTCTATTTTATTGTTGCTATTGTTATTTATAATGATATTGCTATTTTTATTCTTTACTCTAAACAAATATGTACACGTTATTTTTAACTTATCATTAAAATAATGACGATAGAGAGACTCAATAACAAACATATATCATTAGTAAGAAGAACTTTGTACTCGATAATTAAAATTAACTCGCAAGACTAGCTGACAGAGTTATTTTTTTTTTTTACAATTATTAATAAATTATGTATCTATATATTTATCGTTAGGATGAAGAAGAAAACACTGGATCAGAATGATTCATAGCCTTGAGTCATATTATAAAAAATATATAATTAAATACGCGTTTAAACACGTTATCAAGTATTTTATTCGATTTATCAAAATATTTTGATACTGTGATAAAATAATAATCGCAAGATTATTATCAAGATTTTTACTCGGTGAAAAAAGAAAAATAAGTGAAAAAACAAATTCGTTTTTATTTAACTTTTAACATTTTCGTCATATATACATTTGTATATATCAATTATATTATATAAAACAAAAATAAAATTTGTTTACTCAAAACATTTTTATGATAAAAAAATCGATAGCATATAGAATAAAATTGGCCACCCCTGGTGTATACCATAGATATGTATACATAGATATTCGATATCGATAGTTACGTTTACTCATTTACTCGATTCAATGAGAAAGAAAAAGATAGTAATGAGTAGAAAAATACATTTTCGATACTCGTATAAGAATATCAAGCGAATAAGAAGAAACAGTAAAGAAGCATAATCCGTTAATTACTTTTTCCGTTCGTTTTGAAACAAGATGAACGAAAGAATCAACCTTATAAAATACTATTATTATTTTATAATAATGTGTGTGTGGTATAAGAAGATAAGAAAAACATTAATGACGGTAGGAGGATCGATGTATAAAATAAATATCATCATTTTTGTATCCAATTTCCATTACATCGTTTAAACGAAAAAAAAAAAACACATACGTTTTAAACGAAATGTAATTATTATTAAAAAGTAAAATGAAGATCGATGATAATTATATCGAAACAAAAATCGAAATAATCCAATGATTAATAATTTTAAGCAAATAAATATATTACTTTTTCTCAACAAAAAAGTAATTAGAAAAAGAAAGAAAATCAATAAATATATATATAGAAATGAAATTGGAAATAATAAACATTTTGGATGATTCGATAAAATAAAAAGGACGACAATTCTTTTTCGATATCATCGTGCGTTTTCTTAACAGTCTCTAACCTAAACGTATCCTTGCGTTCCTTTTTAAGGACATCTCTGTGACCCTTGACAGCCGTTGACTAATGGTCGTCCTGCATCCGCCCTCGGTCTTTATATATCAGTAACGCTACATGTTTCCTCTAATATAGTATATATGGTAGAGAAATAGACACATATACACAAATATATAACAAATAAATACCACTGTATATAATATCTAAAACTTATAAATTACACATATTCTTTGATATTATATATACCTATATATATATGTGTGTATATATAATATCAAGTATACTCTTTCACATAATTCACTATCACTTCTTTTTTTTTTATACAGATAAATATAACCATATATCATAAAATCGAATAGAGAGAATGATTTTATGTACAAAAATTAAATCAAAAAAAGTAGAAAACCAAATTCGTTCGTACAAGATTTTGTTTTGGAGAAAAACAAATTTTTTTACTCGTGCACTTAGATGAACTTACAAATCTGGCAATTAAAAGCTTTATTTGTTAACAATAATAATAGAAACGATATAAGAGATATTATCAAATGTGTTTGTAAATATATTATCAAGGAGAAAAATTAGAAAAATTTATGAAATAAAAAAGAAATTTGTCAGTTCAATTGTCCACTTGTTTTTCATAATTAATTCACGTGATTAACTAATTTCTAAAATAAGTAAATTTAATAAATGAGAAAATAATTAAACTAACAATTATATCGTAAAACTCAAATTTTCTCGTTTCGCACTATTACGTTATTGTTACTGCTATTTAACTAACGTTATTAACATTTTTTAGACGAGAGCCTACTCTAATTACAACGCTCCTTAATACAACTTCGAAATACTGTAAACATACTGCTCGCGTAATTAAGAAAATACTAGAGATGTGAATATTTGCTTACACCGTGATATAACTTTTATACGTCGAAATTAAAGTTTCACGCAAACTTCTCTCATGTCGTTCAAAAAATTCACCAAACTAAATTATTCGTGCTGACTAATAATAATAATATTTTACGATGTTGAAATTTTTAAGAAAAAGAAAAGAACAAAATATTTATAGTCTTGTTTATTTATTTCAACAAAAAAAAAAAACTATCTATCTATTAATATCTTAATCGGATATTAATATTTTTTTCTCTGCAACGAAATGAAAATTGAATCAAGAAAATTTGTTTACCAATTATTGAAATGTTTCTATCGAAACGACTGCAATAAATATTAGAATTTGAAATTCCAACATTGATCTAACCCAATAATATATTTTCACTAATTCGTTGGGAAAGATTCCCTTGAGTGAATAAAAAAAAAATAATAATTAAAATGGAACAAAAATAACGAAGAAAATAGTCAGAAGAAAAAATGAAATTTTCTCTGACAATACGAAGAAGAATTAAACCGTAAAAATTGCTTATATATATATATATAGGAATGAAGAAAAGAAAGAAATTATTTCATTTGCTCGACCTAGCCTAATAAAAATACCTAAAAATAATTAACAAACAAAAAATTGTCTTTTAATAATTTGTAATTGTTTAATGTAAAAAAATTAGAAACACATAAAAAAGAAATAAAAAAAGAATATAATAGTAAATAGGAAGATAATGAAAGAATAAAAGAAAAAAGAGGTGGGGGGAGGAAAAGTTTCGCTAAACGAATAAAAGAAAAATTCGACGTAATCATTGTACTTTTACTCTACGAACGAAATTACGTTAAAGAGAATAAAAATCTTTCTAAGAAGCCCTTTTCTCCTTTTATATATATATATATATATTTTTGTATAGTTCTTCTCTCATACGATAAACCACTTCTATCCAAAGAAACGAAAAAGATCCTTCCAGGTGGGACTACGTGTATCTTCTTCGTTTCTTTTTCTTATATTATTTCTCTCTGTTTTCTCGATCGGTGGTCATCTCCTAGAACGATTCGTGCTTCTCACGAATTGTGTATTGTAAATCGTCGCCGATCGAACCCTTCCTCTCCTACCTATGCCCTTACGAGAAATGGTGCACGACCGTAAAACGTTCTGCGACCCTCGTATATTAGTTGTACGAGACGCTGGAATGTGCCTTCGAGTTCTTCTTTCTCTTTGTCTCTCCTTCGTCTTCTTCGTATACCCTTTCCCTTCCCTTCCCTTCCCTTCCACCCTCCCCCCTTTCCCCTTAACCCCATCGTATTGCCGAGTCTTGGCTGTCTTCGAAGTATCCAGATACGGATACGAAATACACTGGACAAAACGTGTGTCCAACTTCGAACACAAAATACCAAGTTGTTGATTTTGTTCTTTTTTGCAAACGATACGATATACTCCCCCTCCTTCTTTTCCCCTGTGCTGTATTCGGTAAATATATGTTCCTATATTCGTTTATCTCAAATATTATGCTAATATTTGCGTTTCGCATGATTTACCTGATTGTCTGTTTTTTTTTTGTTTCGGTTAAGGTTCGAGAAATTTGATTTATTTCAATTTGGGGATGGGAGAACTTTTTGTAACATCAAATTCTGATACCCTTTCGTTTTCTAACGGTGTATTCCATCTTTTTGTTGACGAGATATCAAAATTGTCGAAACATTCTACGTAGATTTTTATTTGTTTGGTTTTTCTTTTTATGTGTATGTATGTATATATTTGAAATTATTTAGTATCTGATAATTAATTACATTCATTTCTCTAATAATGAATTCGAACAAATTTGAAATCGTTTACATATACAATTTACCATAGATAAAATATGAAAAGAATAGATAAATAAAAGAAAATATTTATAATCGAAGACACAGATACAAATCGAGAAACTTTAAAAGTATGAAATGATACTTATATATATCCGTTAATTCATTTTGTTACTTCTTGTTTTCGTAAATAACAAATAAAGAATAGTTAAAAGATTTCTTGGGAGGGTTTAATCGTAAGGCGTTACGTTAACAATTAATTTCTCATTGAAAAATCTTACATTCGAAATCATATGAATTTTGGCAAAAATAAAAACGTCTAGTTAGGGGACTAACGTTATTGTTTTTGCTTTTTTTCGTTTTATTTCTAACAAACTAATCTTTCCTGTTTCAGTAAACAGGCTGTATTCGACGGAAAGAAGGCCATTAGAGGAGGCATACCATTTGTCTTCCGTAAGCATAAAATATTAAAATAATAAATATAAATCGTTTAACTGCGAATGCAAAATGATTGAAACGTTTCAAAACTAGAGGGCAAAAATTAAAAAAAGGAAAAACAATAATTACACGATTAAATATTGATTTTTACCATCGTGTTTTACAAGAAAAATAATCTCTCATCACCATCTCATTTCATTTCATTGATATTTTTACTATAGCAGATCAACTCGAGAACTCTCGTTATTAACTTTTTCGATAAATTCATTTTATTCTTGTCGACGTACTACATACATATGATGTACATAGATATCCTTGAAAAATCATGTTAAATATATGAAATCAAATTACGAGAATAAGAAATTCTAATTAGTTTTTTTTATTGGGTATTCACAATCAGTTTTATTCATTCTCGATGGAAATAATAATATTATTTTATCGCTACCGATTATTTAATCGATTAAATTTACTTCCAAATACATATAAACCATTAGATTGTATTTCCTATATTCATAAAAATATTACATATATAAAGAATTTGCCTTGCTAATGACTTATTATTAATTATCTACAAAGATACTAACATTTTTATAATATATCCAAAATAAAAATTTCGAACAATTTGAACCATAAATATTAGACGAAAATTTGCGATACTTATCTATACTATATTAGATCCGATCGTAAATCTAATCGCGAAAGAAAAAAAAATTAATTACTGATATTACCAATTAACGCGTGGTAAAAAAGAGAAAAAAAAGTGTGAATAAAATAAAAAAAAAAAATTTCTAGCACAATTTGGACCATGGACGTTCGGACCACCCCATGGATTTGCCAGAATTGTTCGTTGGAACGTAGAAAAATCGCCAGAACGATTGCCAAGCGGAGACGTCGAAGCAATATTCTCGATAATGGATAACGAATTCACACGGTCAATGTGGAATTACTCGTTCAGATTAACCTATAGGTTAATCCTACGAGAGAAAGAACTTCATTTCCACATTGGCGTGTATAATCCGAGCAAAGATCATACCTTTAGCTTTAATATTCTACTACATACTTATTTCAAAGTTCCGGACGTTAGGAGATGCCAGATTACAGGCTTGCATGGATGCACATTTATTGACAAGGTAATTCTTTCTTTTTTTTATATTAATATGATTATAATATTATTATTATAATCATATCAAAATGCAAATGATAATCAAAAAGATCTTATCGTTCAATCGTTAAATGGAACCGCTCGTTATTTCAAAAATATATCACAGGGTGTTTAACCGGCTTATTCTTAAACAAATTTTTTTCTAACAATAAGCTAAATATAAAACATCCTACGGTATTTTTTCTTTACTTTATATCATAATCGTCTATTACTAAAAACATTTTTTAACGTAAGTAGAAATGCATTTAGCAAAATGACTACGAGTCGAAGGTAATAAAGCTTTTAAATGAATGAAACTAATATATAAATTAAATTTTAACTTGTTATCTATTTATATCGCAAATGTGAATTTTTCAATGAAAATGATTATAACCGTACCTTATCATATAATTTGGAATAAAAAAATGAAAAATGATATTTAGACTAGAGACAACCAGATTTTCCAAGAAGGTCGTGACGTGGTTACGGTATGCGAATGGACCGATAGAATCTATCAAAATACACCTGGGGAACACATCATCACGAACGTTGTTTCCGGAAGGAAGATGCGTGTGCAAAAGTACAATTTTCCGGATACGGTGGTATCGAATCCTTGGCAAGAAAAGGCTCGTGATATACCGGATTTTGGGGATGACGAATTTCCTAATATGATATGCGTCGAAAGTGGACATGTTAGTAGTCCAGTCATCCTTGTACCAGGCATGACTTTTGAAGCCAGCCAAATATTGCAGGTAATCTTTTCTTTATAAAATTATGACAATCAAAAGAAGATAAACGAGTTCAAGATTATGACAATAAATCGACATTCGATGAGACTTTTTATGAAATGTTATATTTTATCGATTCGACAGCTTCATATAATTACGAATTCATTTAATTTTTTTTTTTGTGGTAGAAGAAAGTGTTTCATATAAATCAATTGTCTTTTTTTTCTTTGTTTTTTTTTTCGAATATCATTGAAAATTTGACAAGATAATTTTAGTTTTTCTTTTATGTAAAAAAATCATTGTAGATATATATTATCGCTTAAAGTTAAGCAACAAATTAGTTTGTCGAAACTTTGTTCAATGTATGTTCCTTTGAGCTCATTAAACTTTGCCTCGTTAAGCTATCCATGACCACGTATGGTTGTCTAATTAGCCTCTACTCTTCTCTATAGCTAACAGCTAAATTACTTCTCGACTCATAGAATAATTCTAATAATATTATATAATAATATTATATAATAATATTATATAATTCTAATAATGATCAAAATTGAACTTTAATCAAAGGTGCCAAAAGCATCTTACTTTCTTATAACTAATTTTTCTTATTTCAATTCGTTCCCGTTTACTATCTTTGTCTCAGCTGTCTGCTTGCTTGACCTCAATTCATCCAGACACTTTTACAAAAATTCCATACAAAATTTGAACCATTTTCTCTCTATTTCAAATCATAATTAGATTTCCTTCTTAATTCTAATTAAAAATTACTTAAGCAAGTTAATTTTAGTTTAACTATATCAATCGAAGGATCACTAAATGGAACATATATAATCGATCAATCATACGAAATTAAATTAATACAAATATTGATGATTCTAATTATCTTCTTGTATTTTAACTCTACCCTCTTTTATAGGGTAATGTTACTTCTTTACCAACACCTTCTTGCAATTATTCCAATACTATCAAAGAGGTAGTCGCATGTTTTCATCTTCATTACTTTTACTGTTTTGTACTTCATTACTTTCTGAAGTAAACAGCACCTGATTTTTTTGTCCTTTTGTTTCTTCGAATGGACCACCCATTGATTTTACTAACCGTACTCACCGTTGCTTAACTTAAGTGATCTACAGAAAGAAATTTTTTCAGTTTGGCTAAATCGTTGATGTATTAATTAAAAAAATAATATAAATATATAAAAGAAATAATTCTAATCGTTTTTAACAAACAAACAAAATTGCTTTCCAACGTTAGATCAATGAGAACATAACTTTCGAACAATCTCGTAGACGATGATTGAAAGTTTCTGAGAAGGGGTGAAATTTGAAGCGCATCTTCTCTGTGCATTTGCGAACCTCTACGAGTTACCCCTTCGACTCTAACACGAGGCTTCTTTCGTATTAAATTCGAAAAATCAATGATGAACTTTAAAATATTAATATTTATCGATAAATAATCATTTCCTTTTTTTGTAAATTATTATTAATTAATATATTACCAATGTTAAACGTATCAGCATTGATCAAATAATCAATTCGAAATCTTTGATTAAAAAGTTTATCATTAAATAATTTTATCTTCCATTAATTTAAATTTACTACAAATCATTCGACTTATTATTTAAACCAATATCAAATCAACAATTGTCTACATTCATACATTATTTGTTAGAATCCAGTCATTTAACCGGTAAATTGTATAAAAAGGTATTCATAATATAGGTTAGAGTTAACATATCTTTTTCAGTTAATTAAAAAATTAGGATAAAAAAACTAATACAAAATTTTAATTGACAGGTGATGTGAGTAGAGGGTGGGCCAAGTTCTCATGCAAGTACTGCTACCAGCGGTAGCGGTGCACTGCTTCCGTCCGTTGTCTCATCGACTCCGGGTACGGCTGTTTGGTCGAGCACTAATCCAGGTTGGCGTTATATGCCACCACCACCACCTCCACCACCTCCACCGCCTCCACCACCACCGCCACCACCGCCACAATCAACAATTTCTTCCGCGCATTCGACTCAGCATCATCTCTCGCAACAACAACAACAACCACACGCACATCATCATCATCATCATCATCAGCATCATCATCTTCATCAACAACAACAACAACAACAACAACAACAACATCATCATCATCATCATCATCATCATCATCATCAACAACAACAGCAGCAACATCCTTCGCAACTTCATGCTCATTGCATCGCTCAAACTTGCACCATTTGCTCTCTAAATCTCTAACATAAATCAATTCTATAATTCGAAATTATTTATATTATTTAAATCGTATGATTTTTTTCTTTACATTGTTTTATTCTTTTTTTGTTTTTTTTTTTTTCGTTTCGTTTCAAGCAACAAAACTCGTTGAAAATGTCTAAAACTTATGGATAAACACTTCTCGCGCTTAGGACGTACATTCATATGTAAACTAATTATACATTAGGGTTGATTCATAAATATATATATATATATATATAAGTATCATATATTATTGTAACAGACTTTTTACTTATTTTATAAATCGAATTAATAATCGATTAGAATTCTCTAAGATTTAAGTTTATTGTAATTAACTGTTCGTTTATGAATCAACTCCAATTTTAAATTCGATTTTAAGTTAACTTTTCGAATTATGTTTTCTTTTTTTTTAGGATATATGTGTAATATCACTTGCGAGGGAACATATTGTCCTCGTCGTTTAAATAATATTGTTCTGCTTATGATAGTAATTGTAAACGAAAAGAAAAAAAAAAGAAACTTAACAATTTCTCTACCTAAGACCTATTGCATTGCGTGCGTTCTTATTTTAATGTATATGTTATAAGGAAAGTGGGAAATGCAGGCATTGTGAATAATACCCAGGCATTGTTCACAATATAGAGTCGTTTTTGTCAATGTAGTAACAGAAGAACACACATCACAAGTGTGCTGCACACACATCGACATTAAGTTTCAGTTTATAGAGATAAACATAGTATAGCGGCACGCTCAGTCTTAACAACACGCTGCATGCTCGCTTTTGTGTGTCGTGTGAGGGAAGGGTGTGTGTTGATTGAGGGAGGGGGGGCCTGTTGCCCAATAAAATATTCTTATAGCATTGCGTAAACAGCGTGTGCCGCAATGATGAAGCACAAAAGATACAGATAAGAATTCTTCTGTTTCCTACATTGACAAAAACGGCTTGGTATTGTGGACAATGCCTGCATTTCCTACTTTTCTTATACATATACATTCCAATTATATCAAGATGCATTTGTTGCATATTTCATAGATACAATTTCCATTCCACTACATAAGCATTCCATTTAATTGTCTAACTGTTTTCTTTAAAAAGAAAAAAAAGTGAAAAAAGCTTTCAATAGCTTAACAGTTCTTATTCGATCAGATCTTGAGATCTGATTTTACATTCCTAATTCTATTAAAAAAAAAAAAAAAACAAAAAAAAAAATTCATCTAAATGTGCTGACGTATTTTCAAAGCGAGAAGATGCATAGAACGGATTTGACAAAAGACACAAAATAATTATAATAATAAATAAATAAATAAATAAATCTTACTCGCTAATTATCACGTTAAACAATTTCGTTATTACACTTTGTAAAACGACTTTGTAAAAGTCTGCAATTTTCTTTCCAATCACTTATTATATATTTCAATCGAATTATTTTTACGAAAACTTTCCTATAGTTATTATTGTAATAATAATGTAACCGCGTCTCTAATGGTTGTGCTTGACGAATATATTTTTTTGTATTATTTGTAGTCTATATATAAATACGTATAATTATATTCGTGACATTTTTTGGCTTTCGCATATGCAGGCTGTCTACAAAAAATTGCTTTACCCCGAGAAAATAAAAGTCAAAAATAAATAAACTCATAAATATTGATTTATTAAATAGAATTACAATATTGTATTTTTTCATTTCTCAATATATGAATTTACAGTTAACCCGTTGCCCGTTGACGATCGTGCTCAGAAACACACATTTTTTTATTTCGGAGCGATAGGGCATGCGAAAATGCATAAAAATACAAATGATATGCTGTCTGGCATGCTGTACCTTTTTTTTTAATGTATTATTCAATAATTAACAAGTGTATGAGTTAGTACACTTCGTACTAACGCTATACTTTTTTTATTAATTAAAATGTATAAATTAAATCTATAAACGTCGTTTGCCTACATATCAACAAAGATCGGACGGCTATAGCCGTCATTTGCGGCAACGGGTTAAGTATTGTTAAAACAAAAGATGTGAACCTATGATGCAATCATTCCAAATATTGTTAATATTGTTAACACAAAAATTTGTAACCATTTCGATTCGGTAAAGTAATTTTTAAAACATCCTGTATATGTTTCTCATTGTCAACGATAATAATATCTTTGAAAGAATTGTCAATGATTGAATTAGATCATCAAGATAGATCGTTTTTGCCAAAGAAAATGTCAAGAAAATATAATTAAGTCGTTTTTTATTTTTTTTTTTATTTTTAATTCCGCTTATTCGTTATTAAACGCCAAAACTCTGGCTTCGTCATGATCGACCTACTAAATACGTATTATAAAGCAATTCACATAGGAGAATAACACAATAAACAGATATGGTGCTAATATTACAAGTATGAAGTCGTTTTATAATAGTTTAGGCGAGAGTAATAAGATAAACTCGTAAAAAGAAAAAAGAAAATAGAAAAAAAAAAAGAAAAAAAACAACAATAATTAAATTTTCTCTTTTAGATCATCTGCTGCGTGATTTCTTCTAAAAAAAAAAAAGTAACTTTTTGTTGTGCAACACGTTTGCCACGTTAACTCTTTAATTATGCACGCGCGCACAAACACAACACACACACACACACACACTCGTATAAACGTTCCGTCTCTTTAGAAAGAAAGAAAGAAAAAAAGAGAAAAAACAAAAAATATAATAAAAAAGTAAAAAAAGGTGAAAAAAATAAAACATATACATATAAATGAAAAACGATACATCATCGAAATAGTTAAGTAAGGGAATATTTATGCCATTATTACGTGATCTATGATATTAACGTAAAAAAAAAATAAAAAATCAAAAAAATAAGAAGCAAAAATGAAATCTATATTAATGATATCTATATATCTATAATCAGAAATCTGTATGGAATACTTCTAAAGATTGTCTATTCTACATTTGTGAGAACAAAACCATGACTTTGTAAAAGCGAAAGATGTTTGATATTTTTTTTTCTTTTTTAACTTACTTATATATATATTTGTTTCTTTGATGTTCTCGGATCGTTATTAAATATTATTCATTAAAAAAACATTAATCATACTATTTATACTCTTAAATAAGGCATTCACGATTCCTTTCATTGTCAGATACAAAATAGATTTTTTTTTAATAATAATTTTTGGACAAAACGCTATAGAAATTTTGTATCCGTCTTATTGCTAAATATTAAAAGCGATCCGAAAAAAAGAAAATAGAAAAAAGAAAAAAGAAAAAAAAAGAAAAGGAAAATACTCTCAAATAATCTAATTGGTTGAAATCGATTTAAATTCATACACTTATATTTAAAATAATATAAAAATAGAGATAGCTTTTTGTAATCTTATCATTTCAATATCACATATGATTTCATATCAAGTCCAAGTTTATTTTTATCGAACAAGTTACGTGCAAAAGATTGATTATATAATTTAAATAGATAAATTAAAAAAATAATAATTTGATCGATTATTGTACTCTACATAAAGAAAAAGTACAAGTTTTTTTTTTATTTCGCTAATATAATTTCATTGTTATATTAAATGTATTTTATTTTGCATAGATAAAATTAATTAACAATATATTAAATTCATTAAAATGCAACGATGTGAAGATTTTAAATAAATGTGAAAGAAAAAGATCGACATAAAAAAACAATAAAAAAAAATTAATAATAATAATAATAATAATAATAATATCGTACTTCAAGTATAACAAAATATAACAAACAAATTTTCAACACGTAAAAACGCAGACTATCTCTCTGCTTATTCGTATATTCAAAATGCCATAATATAGTTATAATATAAATGGGATACAAATAATTTGAAGATTATTCGAATTAAAACAGTAAAATTATGGACTTTTTAATTACATCCAGAAAAAAAAAAAAGATGAGATACAAAAATAATAAGACGATTATTTCATAAGAGTTTTTGGTCTTTAGAGGCTATATATTACGTCCATGGTTCAACATAGCATAACATTTCTTTTTCCTTTCCCATATTAGCGTTAAGATTTGGTCTTCCACTACACATTTATCAGCTCATTTGACTTTTAACAGAAATAATGTTTATATTCCAAATATTTGTAATTATATATAAGAAAATTTCAGAATTATGCAATAAAATAATATGTTAAAAGTGTACTCTTTTGGGAAAGTGCAATAAAATATAAAAAAAATCTTCTTCTTTTTCTTCCTCATTTTATTAGGACTTTGTCCTGTTATAATAGCTTTTTTTTATTGCTATTTCTAGGAGCGATTTATTGAAAATCGATTCGAGCAATTTATTGAAAAGCGATTATAAAAAAAATATATATATAT